CAGTGAGAGACACAGAAACAATGGGATGGATTCCAGTAGAACATCAAAGAGGCACTGAAAAAACACTATGAATTCCATAAAAGTTAAGAAGGGATTATGCATTGTGGGTGGGGGGGGAAGGTATCCCAGGTGTCAGGCGTTCCGGGAAGCCTGTACCTCTCAAGTACCTCAGCCTATGGGGAAAGAGAGAAGGGACAAGCGGCCGGGAATTAGGATAAAAAGGAGGTTGTGCCCTCCAAAAATTTGAGAGACCCCAGGGGAATGCCCCATGGCCTCTCCCTTTATTCGAATAAAGAAAAAGGACTTCTCTGTCTCCTTTTTGGACATAAACCTCTGGTGTTTGTGGATTAATTTTCCTGACAGCATTAACTAGAATTTTAAGCGTAAGAAAAAACCAGAGAGATTGAAATTATAAATCAAAGACCATTTAGTTTCATACCAGGTGTTAAAACCCTCCTTCTAGATGCTATTAATCTCAGACATTTAACTGGCTTTAATGGGAGGAGTCTCAGTCTCTGTAGCAAGACACAGAGAGTCTTCCATTAGGCACAATGACCTCATCCATCCCTCCCTGATCCTTCTTCACCTCATATGCAGATTCAAGCACAGCAAAATTTATCACTTCAATGCAAACCTGTTTGCAGCTCAGTGTTCTGCAGTTACCTTACACACCAGACACAAAGTTTGTGAAAGAGAATGAGGTTCCTTGGACTCTGAAATTGCTATTGCTGCTTTGAAGCAATGCAGGTTCCCTGTAACAAAGAACTACTACTGAACTTTACATTGTTATGTTTCATTTGTTAAAATTCCACAGGTTCTGCACAAAGAGAAACCCTCATCACTACATACACAGTACCACAAAGAAGACACCAGAAGAGTCAGAAGCCCAGGAAGATCTTTGCTTCATAAATGGATAAAGTCAAAGAATTAGGCGGGTGGAGAAATGACTGACCTATACATTACTTTAAATTGGTAATGACTTATATAATTATTATTCTTTCCCTTTTAACTGCTCTTATTCTGTAATTCCCATCCATTTATCTAAAACCACACCCTTGTATCCCCTCTTCCTGCAAGGAAAATACTCTTTCCTCAGGACTGCACATCACTATTTGAAATTTTCATATCATTTTTTGTCTTTGCAAGTCTTGGCCATGTTACTTAGAAATCCTCAGTCTCCATTTCAGCTTCTTTAGATTCATTTTTGCTACTGTTTTAATAAAATTCGTTTTTGACAAAAGCAACTAACCTCTCTGACCTAAAGAAAAAAAAAATTTTAATTTCCCCTTCAGAATTTTTTTGATTTCAAGTCCCCTTGTAAAACTTCCCAGAGGAAGTATACATACTGGTACAGGAAGTTGGAATACTCTTTAATACATGCATCGATCCATCCATCCATCTCACATCTATAAACCACTGATGGAAAACCAAACACACTGTTGCTTTCATCCCCAATATCTGCTCCAATCTAAGCTCCTAAAATTCTGTTAATTCTTCAGAACTTTATTGAGTAATTCCTCAACCTTGTTTACATATTTTCATTAAATTCTTTAGATCAATTTACTTATTTTCTCCTAATCTTCTCCTATGACCATCTTCCTTTCAGTAACCTTATCTGTTCCAACCATTTATATGGCTATCATTATGAAATGCTTTCACTTTTGGCCTTTCGCCTTTGATCATGACAATATAACTCCAACACTTTGCTTCTTAAACTAATTCACAATCACAAAAGTATCTCCAAATTTATCAGTATTTTCTCATTTTCTTTGTACTTCCTTTAGTTTTTGCCATTTTATCTTACTTTTCTCTCCCCTTGAAGTCTACTGTCTCTACAAAATGGGTATCATTAGAACTCACAAATTGAGAAAAAGTGACATGCACTACAGACTGTACAGGGAACATGGTAAAGAGAAAACTGAGATTTTTGGACTAAGAATTGATCTCTCAAAGAAACAGATGGAACATACTAAAACAAATTTAACTGTAATTTATCAAAGACTAAAAGCATTTATCTTACAATGACAGAAAAGGCTCTAAGCTCAGTGGGAGACCACAATTTACATAGCATTAGCATTAAATTACAAAGCAATTAAATAGCTTAGCATTTTTAAAAATAGTGTTAGTAACAGAATTCTCTTCTGGGACTGCAGCCTGCAACCTTACTGTTCATAAAATTGCATCAAAGAACCACTACAGTAGGTCAGGCTGGCTGTTTAGCCAAACTGAAATGACAAAACCAACTCAGACAAACATCCAGCCTGACCTACTACTCTGTCTTCAGAAGAAGCTAAGAATAGATGTTTAGGGCAGCTAAATAAAAAACTCATCTTCCACTCTACTCAAAACACTTCATATTTTCCTTAATTTGCCACTCAGTAACTTTCTTACCCAGGGGTAGTACCTTGTTTATCAACTTTTTTTCTTTTTTCTTTTTTTTTTAATTTTTATTTTTATTTTTAATTTTAATTTTCTTCTTTTTTTTTTTCTACCTCCTTTTCCAAATTTGTTCAGAAGCTCTTTATACCCATGCAGCACACACGGCATGCTGTGGCAGGGAATTTCAGAATTGACTTACACATTATGCAAAAAAACAAAACAAAACAAAACATATATTTTCCTAACTTTAAAACTGTTCCCTGCCTGTTTCACTTCATCTCTCTTCTAATATAAAATTAGGTGGCACTGACTATTCATTTCCCATCCACATACCTCACAGCTCATATAATTTCTTAAACACCTTGTATTACCATCTGGCCATTCTCCTCCAGTCTGCAAACTCTCATCTAGTTAGCTGTTCTTGTATGGATGCTGCTGCGTGGATGTCTTCTGCATCCTGCTGCTCTTCTTCATTTTTGTTGCCCTTCTCTGAAACTTTTCCTGTTCTATTCCACTTGCTCTGAGATGAGGAGACCAGGACACCATCTTTAAGACACAGACACTTCACAGATTTAGAAATTGCTCTAATATTTTGATTTCTCCCTTTTCAGAGCAATTCCTGATACAAATTTGCTTCCTGATTGCTACTAAAGCATAGACTTGATTTTTTCAATAAATGCCTGCTTATAGTCCCAAGACCTCAAGCTAACTCGAAATACTTTAACATTACTGATCCTGAATTTCTTTCACCATTTTAATGGCCACTTGATTTTACAAGGTTCTTTTGCATTTGTTTCAGTCTTCCCCCATTTTGTTTACCTTCTTTTGTCCTGAAAAACTTAGTTTCAGAAACAAACCTTGTCACCACACATTTGTCCCTAGTCACTTATGAATATAAAAATATCCCTGAGGCACTCACAGAGATGTCTATGAAGTCCACTGGTGATTTCCAATGCACTTTTCTCCTGAAGCTTTTTCCCTACCATTTAAACAATAATTTACACAGTTGGCAGTCCTCCTCTTTAACTTGCACCTGTTTAGTTCCTTTAAAAATTCTTCAAGAGAACTTTGAATATGAAATAAATTTTCATAGTTTAAGTAGAACTACATCAAATGATGTCTTTCACCTCCATGCCATTCTTCTCCTTTAAAGATCACAGGCCATTTTTGTGATTTGACTTCAAATCACAAAAATGCTGGCTGGATAAGATCTCTGTGAGTCTTCCAGTCGGACAGTCTGGCTAGCCATTAAAGGCCACAGAAGATGAGGTCAGCCATAGCACTGTCCAACTAAGGCTTGAGAGCTCCACTGGAGACGTGACACCTCCACCACAAACCCATGTTTTATTCAGTGCTGTACTGCACTCCTACAGAAAAAGATTTACCTACATTGTCCAGTCTGAACATTTCAATTTGCAATCTGTGTGCATTAACCTCCTGCTATTGGCTTGCCACAACTAGGAACATTGGCTCCATCATCTTTGTAAACATCCTTCAAGCAGTGGAATCTAATATTAACCAGTTTACAAACTCTTAAACATCCTCCTTATCAGGCTTTTATTCACAGAAATCAAGCCTTTCTCAGAATCTCCACTGTAATACTCAAAGTTCTTTCTAAAACAGAGATACTAATTTAATTTTTTTGCTAATCCACTCAGTTTAAAAAAGAGGCCCACTGGGTTTTAGACTCCCTGAGTCCACATGAATGCTTTCTGAAATATGGTATGAAATTAGACATCTTCAAGTACTCAACTGGTGAGACACTTAAAAGCATGGGGCTGCATGCCAAAGTCAGCAGCTAGTCTATTTCACACTACCGTTCCTAAAACCACTGGGTAAACTACATCTGGACTGCTAAATGGAGAATAGGAAATTTGTTCCCCAGAAAGGCAATTTCCTAAGACTCCCATTAGAAAGTTTCCAAAACAGGAACCATCCCACACTTTTCAGTGGTGAACACATACACAGAAGCATTACTCAGTTTTCTGCCAGGGCTTTATCTTGGATCATTCCTGTCATAGTATCATTATACACAGGCTACACAGAGTCTTCAGCTGGCCTCCTGCTCTTGGTGTAGTCGAAAAAAAAGATTTATTAACTTTCTTTTTAGCCTGATAGGGGAATGTTTTGGTCTTATTTCCTTCTTTGAACAGAGACACAGCTGTTTTTAAGATGTTCTCTTGCTTTTTAATAGTCTTGTCTGCCTTGTCATTCAGCTATACAGGTTTCCTTTTCCTAAGACATTTTTAGACTTATGGTAAGCATTTGTGTGGAGCCTCCAAACAGCATCCTGAAATAGTCATCTACAAACATGTTACTCCTACAGTTACCCTTTCAGTGTCACTTTAAACAAACATTCCCATTTTTACATAGTTTCCCTTTTTGAAGTTGAGCATAATTTAAGAGAGGTAGGAAGAGAAGAGAATTGCAGGTTCCTTTCCTTTCATTCCTCCCATTTCCATTAGTTGAATATCCTTAGCTTAGGGAAAAGAGAAAGGCAGAAGAACTGTAATGGTTCACAAAGTCACATCAAAAGATGTGATAGTCTGTTTCCAGACATCTTACAATCTCTCCATGACATCATCATCTACTGACTGAGCAAAATACACTCTCTTACCCACCCTTTAGTCACCATCCCTCTATAATCACAAACTGCCTCTGTTCAGTGTTCAGTGCAGAGCCGAAGTGGGGTCCTGGGTCTACCTTGGAGGCTCCTAGGAGTTAAGGAAACACAGAAGAGAGATAATAGGTATTGAGGAGAGAGCTCATCAGCAATTCTTAGACATTTATTGCAGATATTAAATATGTCTCTCAAGTCAATAAATTAGAAATGTAAGGCACTTTAACTACACAGTGTGAAAAAGTACCAAATGGAAAGAGACAGAAAAAAACCTCATTCTTTAAAGTACCTGGCAGCTTGGGATGAGAATCAGAAGAGGAATACTTGCTGCAGAATTATCAAAATCCATGAGACATGAATTTGAGAAAAATCCGTACTATAAAATTTTGCCTTGGTGCCTTAACACCACTAAAATTAAACATGCTTAATATGTGGACTCAAATCTATCCCTGAGTAAAATCCATTGCAAAACTCAGATAGGTAAAACTTCAGTATTCTTCCATCTTTCCATAAAACATAAAGTTCAAGAGAAAAACGTAGTTACTCTCTAATATCTCAAAACAATACAAAAGGAATTTTCAAGAAAGAGGTGCATCATTAAGCACATTTCAAGAAATTAACCCATCTTGTAGGAATGACAAATATAATATAAATATTCAAAAAAAATATCTTGCTTTTTTATTTATTGAAACAAAGTGTTATAAATTTGTATTGTGATATTGGCTTTCGCAGATGAATATTATATATTAAATACTTTTTAGCTATGTATGTACTTTTTTGCTAACAAGTCTTAGGTTTAAAAAGATTTCCTAGGTACAAGGCAAGGAAACCCCAGAGGGCAAGGACAGTGGGGCCCAAGCTGTTATCAGAAGAACAATAGAGCCCAAACTGTTATCAGCGGAAGACATGAAGACCAGCTGCCTTCAGGGGAAGGATGATAACAGCCCAGGCTGTTATCAACAAGTGACCATCTGCAGCAAAAAGGAAACCAAACTCCAAAATAATGCTGACCAGCAGAAAATAACATGATCCAAGCAGGTGGAACCAGGGAGGGGACATGCTTGAATATGCATTAACCTCTCACAGCAAAGATGGGATAAAAGGAGTGTTCCTAAGATACCAGGTGTGTTCCTGGCAAGGTGCCAGGGCACCCGGCTGTTTTAACCATTTGCTTTATTTTTTTTGTCTCCTAATTGTCTTTTGTTTATATTAAATTATTTTTATAATTTATTAAGTGAATCTCGTTTTTAAGAATTTTGGGGGGCTCGTCCGGGATAAGCACCTCACCTCTAGAACCACCGAAGACCCAGAACGGGGAAGCAGGCGCGCCCCTGCTAAGTTCAGCAGATCCCATTCTGTTTCTCCTAGCGTGGCCCAAGCGGCTGCAGGTCAAAACCCGAGGACAAGAAGGAGAGGAATAAAGCAAAGGAAAGGAGAAAATAAAAGCTCCCTAGAAACCGCGGTATTTTTGCTCCATAATTCTTGTGCACGAAGACCCAAAGAAGAAGACGGATTGTAAGTAATCTCTGGGGGAGCGGGAAGCGGGGGTTGCAAGATACCCCCGGGGTTACTGGGACTGGGTCTCAGGGGAGGGGTGAGCCCCTCGGGAAAGGGAGCCCAAGGTTTTCCTGGCACAATCCACTGGGAAAACAGAGTAAAATGTGTATTCTGTAAAACTTTGTCAAGTTGAGGATTAAATCCAAGAAATTTGGATTTAAAACTGCCAAATTGAGGAATAATCCAAGAAACTTGGGATATTTGACATATTACAGCGCCCATGGGCGGATATTAACAAGGGAAGTAAAGAGCACCTTATTGTCTTGCTGTGACTGGGTGGAGTTGAATGAACAGATGTGAGAATGCGTAAATAGGTGTGATTGTTGCATTGAAGTTTGTGGGTTTTTTTTTTTTTTTGGAATTGTGTTGTTAAATAGGAAAGGTTTTCGATGCTGTGCTGGAGTAGGAGTGAACACGGGTCAATGCTTCCACAGGGACTGGATCACGGTGGGGACACATGGAGGGATTCGCTTCCTCCCTGCGAGCTCCTGTCTTGGAGCCCCGGGGTGGCAAACCAGAACTGGGACTTGTAGCCCAGGAGGCGCAGGGGTGTTGTATCAAATCTGTTCTCAGCGGGATAGCAGCTCTGCTCTCAGAGCAAAGCCAAAGTTATCTTTAGTGGTGATGGTCCCTCCGTGCCTTTCCTCCCCCCCGGGCAACAAGAGCTGCTTGCGGGGGAGGGGTCGCTTTGGTGAGCTGGTATGTGGTTCAGCATTTGAAGTTGTTTGGTTTTTTTGGTTTTTTTGGTTTTTTTAGAAGTTTTCTTTGCCCCACTGTAGCGGCAGTGAAAGGTTTTCCTGGGATATCGTGTTCCCAGGGCTACTCCCTGCCTAGCTATTGGGGTGGAGGGGCGGGTCAGCCTCAGGAGTGCAAGAGAACTCCTGGAGCTCCGGCCGGGGGTGAGTCGGGCCGAACCCTGATAAGATCAGGGCACGGAGGGTGCCCTGAGGGGATGAGTTCAGCTCATCCCTTTTGAGTAAAGTGAGGGCAGGGGCCTTCTATGTCTTGGTGCCCCTGGATTGTTTAAACTTATTTGGAGGTCTCAAGCCACAGAGCTGTGTTTAGGTGGCTGCAGGCAGGCTGGATTGAACCACAGATGCTGGTTCGGGTTCCCTGCTCCAGGCACAGGGGGATCAGAGGAGCTCTCAGTACTCCTGGAACCTCCTGAAGCTGTGCAACAGGCCGGGAACATGCCCAATGGTGAGAGAGCTGGGTGAGTCCCTCTGGGACCCAGGTTTTCTATGCCGGGGTCTTATGAGACCCCGCACATTAAGTTCTGTGATTTCAGGAGTAAGGACTGGTGTCAAACTGTCTCAGAGAGCTTTTTCTTAGCCGGATGTGTGAGTGAGATATGGAGCAGTACTGGCATATGGTATCAGCTCCAAACCAAGGGAGCTGCACGTTGCAAGCCTTTGTTTTACCGGGTTCTGAGAGAATTCCGTGTATGATGGTGCTGTGGGCTTCTGCAGCAGTAAGCTGTGTCAGTACTTAAAATTTGGGATTTCAGGAAGAGCATGCATCCTGGGAGAAAGTGGAAAAAGAAGTGAGCTCTGTTTGTTTTTTTCTTGAGTGACTGCAATATTTATTTTGTAGAGAAACAAACCCATTTCTTAGTATGCCTTCCAATTTCTTTAGTGAGTATTGTAGAATTTTGTGGTTGATTTTAATTTTAAAGGCAAGTTACAGTACTTTGCATAGTAGTCACTTCTTGAGGTGAAAACTTATCAGTTTGTCAATAAGTGTTAGAGCTGTTAACCCTAATGTTGTTTGTGATGGGCACAGCCCATGATTCTTAACAGCAGAACCTGGTGCCAGCCTAAAAGCAAAATCCTGTGGATTGTTGTAAATCTTTTTACTGCTGCTGAAAATGATTTTGTCTCTTTTCACAATATGAAATGCTGATCATCTCTCTGATGATTGCTAAGGAGTTATTGTGATGGTGTGTTTAGCTGAAGATCAGGCTCAGAACTGCCATGATTTCTTGTTCTTTTGAATTTGCCAAGAAAGTGCACATGTCTCTAGGAGTGCTTGTGTTNTGTATATGTATTTCACTATTTTATTAATTTTAGTCTATTAATGATTTTGGATGTATTAATTTAAATATATTATTGCAGGGAATTGTGAGGAGAAGCTAACTTGCAACAACTCAGAGAAGACTCTTCAGAGGCCCTGAGTGACAAAAGAACAGTAAATCAAGGCAGTAGATAGAGACTTCATCACAAGTTTTTAAGTTTCTATCCTTTTCACTACACTACTGTGTGCATGGAAGAAGAAAGGAGTCTGGAGACCGCACCTAATACACTGCAAGAGTGAAAAAATAAAAAATGTGTTTTTTAAGATCCACAAACAAAACAAAGAAAACCAAACAAACAAAACTCTTCATCCAAGAACCAAAAACCCCATACATCCCCAAACCCTGCAAAAAATACAGAGAAACACACACCTTCAACATATACCCACAGCATGAAGTGATGAACAGACACCTTAGAAAAGATCTCAAAACTGAATATTTTTCCACAGAACTTGTATGGGTTAGATTGCTCACTTCTGTACACCCTTGAGTAAGGACTGCCGTACAAATTCCATTGTTGCCCAAGAGAGCAGCTGTAAGAGTGAGCCTGTGGAAGCACGCAACACAAACCTGAAACACTGCAACAAATCAGAAGGCTTGAACCAGGCAAAGCAATCTTTCCTCTAATCACCCCTTTGCCTTACTGAAAGTGCAGCTTTCATGCCAAGCTAGCCTGAAGCAACACAAGACAAGACAAAGCCAAGAGAACCCTAAACATGTAAAGATTAAGCTGGTTTCCTTGATTTCAATATAATTTCCATATGTAAATCTCTCTCAACAATGATGGTCAGGTCAAAACTCTTCAAAAAAATATATCCAAATATTGACACTGATCAGCATTTTAACTATTGCTAAATATTTGAGGAGACTGCACATTCACCTGTTATTTGCAAAACTTTTATAGAAGAGACCTTTATTCAGACTTTCAACAAATTGCATTTTACAAGTTTGTAAAACAATCTGAAGATGCAGAATGAAAAAGAAAGCAGAATAAGCAGCACTATAAGATGCAATTTATTGCAATCTATTTTTTATTCCTGTATGTTAAGGGTCTTGTGCCCTTACTCTATCCCTCATTCCCTTTGTTTTGATCCACCTTGCCTAGAAGAAACATAAAGATAAATGAGGCACATGAGGCAAAGGCTTTTTACTAAAAAAAAATTATAGTCAACTTAAAAGAGTTTTCTGTCGTTTAGTGTATAAATGACAGGAAGTATAGTATAGTATAGTATAGTATAGTATAGTATAGTATAGTATAAAAGTACTTGATAACATGTGGTATTTAGCTTTTATAGAAACTTAATATTTCATATTTTTCACATTATTCTTCACAATATTATTATGTGAATTATTATATGTATTATATATAATATTATGTACAATGTTATATATGTGAATTATTATTCACAATAATTCACATTTTAAATGTGAATCACCAATCTACAGGACAAAATTGTATGGTTAAAACATAACTATTGGCAGGTATTCTGCATATTAATACTAG